CCCAAAATCAGATCCGAGTGAAATAATACCGACAAATTTATTATATGGAACAAAATTATCACAAATCCGAGTTATGTCCAACAACGCAAACCCACCACCACTCCGAATCACCACCAAAACCAACACGACGCCGAACTGAGTTGACACAGTGATCCATGCAATCTGCGAATAAGGTCTAGGTTGGTATTCTTACATAGAAATTTGACACGTTATGTATTGTAATTTACTAAAAAATGATTTTGTCAATTTACAAATTCACTTTATATGTTAATTGTGCATGTCAATGTTTTTGGATAATGAGATATATTTAATTTTAGTGCACTAAATAAATAGAAAACTTATTTACAAAGTATGTTTTATAATTTAGTTACCCGGTTATGTAAACAATTAGAAATATATTTTTATGTTTATATGCTACACTAAATAGTAGAGCATGTTACGCTGACACGTAACTTGTTATTTTAACTTACATGTATATTTTCGCATAGATGGTTACTATATAGTGTACATATTTAATTATCTCATTATGTAAAAAGTTAGCAGGACAATTTTATATTTATATGATACATTAAACATTTTAATAGACTATAAAATCACATAACGTGCTATTTAACTATATATACATGTATATTTTCGCATAGATGATTACTATAGTGTACATATTTAATTACCTCGTTATGTAAAAAGTTAACGGTATATTTTTATATTTATATGATACATTAAACATTTTATCAGACTATAAAAACACATAACATGCTATTTAACTATATCACCCAGGAGTAATCAATCTTATTCTTCTCTCCTGCAATGAGCTTGGCAGTACACTATTGTAGCAACTTTCGTCAACCTTCAACATCTACTTTCGTCTACGTGAAAGTCTATGGCTATTTAACTATATATCTGCATAATTCTTCACTACACCATACATATTTTTATCAATAATATAAAATAAATATTTTTATGTATAAACTGATATGCGTATGAGCATAATGCAAATGATAAAAAAAATTACATAAATATGCTGGAAAGAAAATGAAAGAAACATTGGTATGATGTAATTAATGGTTTGTGAGTATTACGTTATGCGGTTATGCCTTAATGCTAGAATAACACATTTAAGTGATAAAATATTCTTTTTTATGTAACAAGAAAATGGATCTTGCCATTTTCTTAATTTGCTTCTTCTTTATTGCTATTCTCCAAATTGACTCTAAAAAAAACTACACATAAAACGCAACGTATTGTTGTTCTTCCACAAAGTCATCATCATTGTCTAATATGCTTGTACATGTACATTACTACATTTAAACATATAATAGACAGATCTAAAGTAATGATCTTTGTAATCTTAACATAGGGAACTTTGATGATCAATATTGTAACACTGATCATAATAACACAAGTAATCGATCAAATTCAAAGAACAAATTTACATATATAATTAATTACAAGTTATTTATAACAAATCACAGAATTTTTTAGCAATAACTTAAGAAAGATTTGATTAAATTATTTGTTAAACTGAAATCGTCAGTAACTTTTAATTTCCCGGAGACTTGAAAAAGAGACAATGCAATATTAAAAAAATCTTAGAGATGTGGAAAACGGAAAAGAAGAAGGAAATGTTTCTCTGGTGAAATACTTAACTCCATTGTTGCAAAAGTCTCTATTTCTTCATTTCCATTTTAAACTTGATTCATGTTGAAGAATTTCCCAATTCCCACGATCTTTTCCCCTGTTTATTCCAACAACACATTATTAAAAAAAAAAACTTGAACCAATATAAAAACACACACAAGTAAAGAAGACAGTGTTCATAGGTTATTCAGATCATACCTAACGCATCAATTTCCAGCAGCGAAACTTCTAGATTCTGTTCCTTGATCTGGAGCTCGGACCGGAACAGTCTTACACATGTTAAAGTGTCTATAATACTCTGTTTCACCTTAGTCACTTGATCAGAGATTGAACAAGGTTGAAGAGGTTGCTTGAGCTGCAAGTTTTCTAGATCAGCACTTGATTTGTTTGATTCCCTGGTGACACGAGATGGTTCTCTTCCATCTGCCGAAACTCGAGCTCTCTTTTGGACCGGATTCTCGATATATTTTTCAGCCCGTGATGGTTCTTGAACCGTCGTTCTGGCATTCGTCTCTGGAGTCTTATAACCATCAATAGGTGGTGTTTCCTTCACCTGAAAACACAATTCGTTTTAACACAGAAATCTTTCAACAGAAAAAGCAAAGAACAATTGGAATTCTAATTGATCCGGACTTAACCTTGGAGCATATTTTAACAATAGGACTTGTTCCTCCTCGTATAACCTCCAATGTGAAGGAATCACCAAGTTTCGTTATTCCATTAGCTAAAAAGAAACCTTTCAAACCTCTAATGTAAAACAACTCTCCTCGTCCCTTAATGTTAACTAGATGCAACTTCCACTCTACACCGTCTTTGTCCGTTACAGTGATCTCTCCTGCTTCTGTGATCCCATGCTCTCTTGTGAGGGACGCGGGAAGACGCTGCATACAATGTTTCAACCCATTTTGAGCCAATGACAAAAACCAAAATAAAGGCTTTAAAACCCTAAACAAAAAAAGTTGTTGGAACTTACAAGTTGACTTGACCTTATCATGTATTGTTTAAGATCAAATGTCAGAATCCTGTTCTGGTTCATCGAAGCAGACTCAAAGCGATCCTCATATTCAACCTCATCATTACCTTCAGTTCCAGAAACATTCAGATTTTTGTTTGCTTGGGAAGAGTTTCCATTAGAGATGTTGGGACACAACTGTAACACGGGTTTTGTTCCGTTTTCGACAAGTTTAAATCTACGGGAAGATCCGGCTTGAAGCCCATTTTCGTTGCAGAAACGACTCCAGCCTCCTCCGTTGATAAAGACCTGACCAGTTGTTTTGTTGTGTCTAAGACCTAGAGTCCAAGATTTTCCATCTTCATTCTTGAGATCAATCTCACCACATCTGTTGGTCAAACCATTTGACCTAACAAATTTGTTTACAAGACACTGCAAGAAAATCTTTCGAATCTTAATAATAGTGTAACGAAAAAAAATGGAATGAGAAATCGTTATTAAAAGAGCCAAGTGAAGGAGTAGTAACCATATGATTTCGGCGTAGGCTCGAAGAGGTAACGCGTATATCAAGGCAAGATTTATCTGATGAAGAATCTGTATCTATTCTTGCTCTCTTCTTGGACGAAGTTTTCTTTGGAGGCAAGTCCTCGTCCGATGTTAAATTGTCATAATCATCTCCAACATCGGAAAGG